AGTACATAAAAGAAACAGGGGTTCCTATGGGTGACCGCTACGAAAACTGAGCTATTTAATATAAACAAACTTTAAAGTCAAGGTTCACAATAGCGTACAGAGAAGACGTTACCATATATGAAATATTGACACAGAAAGGAAACTCCTTTGATGTGTTTCCAAAGTGTAGTGGATGTCACAAGAAAATTTAATAAATTAAACAAAAATATATTATATTTTATATATAACTAAATTATAGTTTACCTTTTATCATCAGATGTAAAAAAGGATGCATACAACACAGTTTAATAAGGTTTATGAGAGCCTTTAAAGTTTTATAAATTCGATAATCAATTTAATATAAAATACCAAAATACGTTAACATATAATTAAATTGAATTTAAAGAAAAGTTCAGTTCGAATAATAGGCTAAATCTGATTATTGAAATATCTACCCTTCGGTGACATAATCTATGACGTTATTAGAGAAAGAATAGAAAGAAAAGAAAAAAAGGGGGAGCCGGCAGATCGGCGGGCGCGCGGGAGTCGCTTTTGATGAATTTCGAAAAAAAAAAAAAAAAAAAAAAAAAAAAAATGGCGCAGGAGTGGTGTTTTAAGGAACTGCGCAATAAAATAAAAAAATAACTAGGATATAGATCTAGGAGGGACTGGTTCGATGAAGGGGTTTGAGATCTTAGTGTATCACTATCGATTAAGTGTGTGAAATTAATCAATAGAAGACTGGAGAATCCGGTGAGCTTGTTCCATTTATTACTACGTAGTTAGATTTTTGACTGTGATCACAGGCAAAGTCTATACTTAATATTTTTCCCAACAACTATTAAAATACGTATTTAGTCGAGTCTATATACCTTTAGGTAATGCGTATATCGTTAAATGCAATCACATTTGAACAAAGTTTACATCAATATAATTTACGTACTTACGTTATTCTACTCATATACAAAATCCAATTATATGGTCGTTTGATAGAACTTCATCAATTTGATTCAATGTTCTAATTGTCCAGTTTTGGAAAATATTTATTAAATCAGCTATTAAACTATTATAATACTAACTAGTTTCATATCTAGTTATTATAAAGTATTTATTTATTGAGGATAATAGACTAAAGTGACTATGGTCTGGTCTCATTGCTGGGGAAACAGCCATTGATGAGAGAGAGGGGTTATTGAGTGGCGACCCTGTGTGTGCAAGTGCGGTGTGGGCTACCTCCATTGGTTGGAGTGACTGTTTTATGTGTATTGTGGGGCCGTTCCTTGTGTCAGTCGGTGGAAATTGCCTGTGTTCAGTCGTGGGTTGGTGATGGTTGAGACGATGATGATGATGAAATATTTGTATTTATTACACTATTACAGTGTTGGTTTGGAATATCTGTTCATACTTAACGCTTCATGGTGAAGTGTTTTTATACCATTACTCGGTCGACCAGATTAATGATTCTTAGTCTATATTTGATTATCCATGACTACATGTGGGGATTTGTTTTACACCAGATGTACAAAGAGACAGCTTAACTGTTGCAAGTGATATTATGTGAATGTAATACTTTTAATACATTATTAATTGTGTTACTAGATAAATTCATGTGACTGTGGGGTATTTATGGTAAACAAGCCTGTATTGTTTAAATAGATATTTTGTCTTGATTTATTATAAACTTTAATATTGATTTTGTTGTAGTAAGCAAGCTGATAATAACAATTCTGTGTGTATTACTGATTACTAATAATATTTAATTATGCTGATATTATAGGTGTGGATTTATTTCCTAATGGTAATAAAAGTACTGAAAGATTCTCTGACTATAGTTGCTCTTGACTAGGTGTGGGTTCAGTATGGAATTGGTACTGTATGACACTTGTGAGGCTATGTATTTTGCTCATATTTAGAAAGGAAGTTGTCCTGGCGATGGGGTTTGTATGTGTGTTGTTTGTTCATGTTATATTGACTAGACAAGTTCGACAGGGTTAATATTAGTGAATATTTACTGGATTTATATTTAATATACATGTTTTGAATATTTTATGGGAATAGTATGGAGATATACAAGTAGTAAAATATAATATTAGTATTTTATAAATTTAATTATTGAGTTATATGTTTATGTCGGACTGTATCCAAGGAGATATTATCCTATTAATATCAAGTTAGGACAATTACTTTAAATATTAATAAAGCAAACATTAACACTGATTATTCACTTCTTTAATAAATTTACATTAGAGGTTAGGAATCAAATAGATAGCATATTGGGAAATCTTCACCACTCATGTATTTGAGGAATGTTCTTGATAATTAGTACTGTATGTATATATTATTGCAAGTACAATTGCAATAAGAATGTTAAACTTCTAATCTTCTGTTCATTCTTGAATTTGAAAGTAAGCTTGGCTACTGATATGAATATAAAACTGCAGCATTACTGGATACTATTAATTATTTCTGGTGTAAACCATGATTATTTATGTCACTGATAATTTAGTTGTATATTACGGTTGATATATGATGATTTTATATTTAAATATATTAAACAAATACAAATAAACAAACTTGCTAGTATTTGTTACGTTGACAGTTGTGATAGATAATCAAAATTCAATTCAATACATCAATACGTCATTCAATACGTCATTAATATGACAGATGTCAAACAAAAGGAGATTATACACGTTATGATTCTATATCTAAGTCTATAGAAAATTTATATAATTTTCTGTTATTTTATAATAACTGTAGGGGAAATATTGGAATTATTTATATGAGAAATTTTACTTAAATGATATGATAATTATTTAAAGACCTAATTTCTTAGGGATTTAATCATGATGATTTAAACACTAAAACATTTGTTTATCTGAGAAATCCTCTTAGTAAATAGGTTTACTAAGACACTAAAAGGAAGTAGATATAGTATAACTATAGTACAGCTACAATAATTGTATGGGACTTACTGTCCTTTCTATACAAATATATATTTAATCTATATCTTTCACATTATAATTATGCAATATATTGCCTCTACTACTACAACATACACAAATAGGACTTATTGTCCTTCCTATATACCTATATATAATAATTGACCTGGCACTTTAATGTGTAATTTATCAGTACTTATGACAACAACCAATTAGGACTTCTAGTCCTCTCTATAAAGCTACATAATTATTTAATCCGATTATTTCACAATGTGATTAATCAAACCTCTACAAATATTACAAAAGATCTCTATTACTCTCAACACAATAATAGCTTGTTGGACTTAGTGTCCTCAAACTTATAGAAAACCCAACTGGTTATTTCACGAGACGTTGTTAACTTGTGATTAATCAGTGTCTTTTAAAGGACTTATAGTTCCTTTAGATATATCTCTCTGAATAAATAATTGGTTAATTCACAATGTGGTTAATCAACAATAATATTATATATAATTAACTGGACTTATAGTTCATTCAATAGCACTCATTACTTTTAGTAGCTCTCGACCTATGTGTTGGACTACTCGTTCTTAGGCTCCGGCCTAATCAACAGATTTAACTTGAACCTTGAGTATTCTTGGTATTAAGTAAATAATATTAAATTGACAATGCTATGTTATGATATAGCAATTATCAACATTATATGGCTTGGCCAATTCCAGGGTGTGGAAGGTATCCCCTATCACACAAATCTTCATCTCTATCGGACTGTCTTCACAGGTGATCTCTAATGTCACATTATAGGGCCGAAGGGTTATGTCCCAACAAAGTAAGTTCTGGTGTCTGGGTGATCTCGCTTCTTGGTCTGATCTCTTGTGGAGCCGAAGGGAAACCCCATTGAGTAAGCTCGTAACAGGGTGACGCTGGGAAACAGTTTCGTACTGTTAGTGGGTGATCTCTATGTCGCCATATAGGACTGAAAGGGTCATCGCCCATGAGTAAGCTCTCGTGTCGGAGTGATCCTGGGATTTCAGTTCCGATCCGTTTGCCTCTGGCAAGCACTAATTTATACTGGAAGCATCGTGGGGCTGGTGGAGCCACTGTAATGTTGAAGTAAATGTACTTATGTTTGGTTTGGAACTGAGAATACTCATTCCCTTATTACCATCAGAGTGCATTAATAAATAGTAATACCCTTCCCTACCTTTTGGAGGAAGAGTTATAGATAGTTGGAAAGTCTTCCACTGGTCCGGGCGTGTGAGGGGCCCGACCGCTCCCCCATTTTTTTTATTATTACAGTTATTCTGTAATTTACTATTAAATTAATATATTATATTCTAACTTCCTAGTTACATGAATTATGAGTATAATTCATTAATTATTCTTAATCCTTAAATATTTATCAATCATCTTCATTATTTAACTCCTATCATATACCAATTAAAGAACCTTTTGGTTATTACACACAACGGGTCCTACATTACTAGACGATCACACATTTATTTATCTGGCCAGATGATCAAGTGTTCTACTATAAGATCTGTTCAATATTATATGTTTATTGTAAAGGTTATATGATTCATAGGGTGTTTGGGGTATATAAGGCAATATAGGTATGGGGTTATATTGAGGGTGTTAGGCCATTCCTTAGGGTAAGTTTTCATTAGATTTTCATGAGTTTTCATTAGGTTAAGCCTTCGTAGGCTTTTCTTAGGCTTTGTAGGTGTTCCATGTGTAGGTTTAGTTTGAGGGTAGTTAGATTATATAGGGGTGCACAAGGGGCACAAGGGGGGATCATAACAGACAGAAAGGCGTACTCGCACCGATGTCGCCTATTGGTTTCTAATGCGAACTGCCGAGGAATAAAATACACTTCCTGCTTCTGTTTCCAGAGAAATACTATCTGGAACTCTTCAAATCTATAGTGAATAAGTACTATCAGTACACGTTATACATTGCACTACCATCTAGGTTAGCACTCTCCATCTTAGATCTTATCATCACTTACCATCAGGTGACCTAAGATCAAGCGTAAACTCGTCTAATAAAATAAAAAAAAAAAGTTAAAAACTGAATTACCTTCTAACAATCCTTTTGGCCTCCTCAGTCTGGACATTTCCCAACACCTGATCACAATCATTGACTATTCTCCTTATCATTTTATTCTTCACCGCTAAATTTATGAACTTCACAGCTTGCGCCAAGTTCGTGAACAGAATGAACGATGTTGCAGTCATCAGCGGGAGATCTCCCCATATTACAATCAAATCTGCTATTTGAGCGAGGAGATAGACTCCTAGTAATATGAAAAATATCTTTAATAATTAATAATAAATTTCATACTTTCGGTTTCGGCTAGTTTCGGCCAGAAATTCTACTTCGGTCTTAGCTTCGGTTTCGGCCAAAAATTGGCCGAAATTTTCGGCCGCGCCGAAACTTTGTGTGTGTTGTGTGTGTGTCTAACTGAAAGTAGTTTTTTTTAAGTTTACTTCCAAGAGTAAGACATAATTTAAAAATTTTTTTACATATATTTTATTTATAAATATATATTTGTTACATACTTTAATTAGTGTTTATTGTTACCCTTTAACTATATGTGTGTTTGTGTAAATAATTGTGTAAAAGATACACTAGATTTCAATATAGAAGAGAAATTTTAAATATGTTTCAATAAGTTTCGGTTTCAGCCGAGACTGAGACCGAGCCCGAAAGTTCGGTTTCGGTTTCGGCTGTAAAACCTGTTTCGGTCGAACACTAATTTTTATTTTATTTTTTTCAAAGCTATTCAACATATTCTTACCTTGTAAGAACATAAAAGACAAAACCGCATAACAATCGTAAATCAGTTTTCTGGTCCCTTGCAAATTATCCGGTGGCCAAAAGCCTACCAGCCTCAGTGCGGTTAATGATAAACTAAGCGATAAATTGACATTTTTTACCATTATTTGCATGTTTTCTCTCTGAGCAATATTTAATGTTCAATGTACAGGTACAATGTTAGATTAATCGACAATGACAACATATGTCTGGCCCACAATAAAAGCAGAAGCGTTGGTCTAACACAATTATCAATAAATGCAGTGGTCGTAAACAGTTTCGATAAACCGTTATCAATCTTTTTGACCGACTTCAACAAGAAGGAGGTTCTATATCGATATCTTAAACGATAGTTGGCTCTTTTAGATTATATAATCTAGGAAAGCCAACTTTTGTAGGAAGTAACCCGTAAATTATTTAAAATATATACAATAAAATATATATATCTGTCTACTGCCAAAAATAGGCCATCGCCCCTTCCCAATGGGGGAGCGGGGGTTGCCAGTAGCTGCCACACTTGACAGGCAAGTTAGCAACCGCAGCTAGACTTTGGTGATGTTTTAAAAGAGGCGCTGCTGCCCATCCCTAGAACATTAAGTTCCCTTTGTTACGGCACCCATGGAAAAAGAAGGGATAGCCCATTCTTAGTCGAGAATGTACACGAAAAATTAAAATTAAATACTACTAAGTGAAACTAGAGAAACTGTTCCCTACCACTGTCGTCTCTGCACACATTGTTTGTTTGTAAATCAAACATTACAATAGCAGAATAATACGTTATTAAACTATTATCACTATTACAATGAAAGTTACCTGCGGACAATATTTGCCTACGTGGCCAGTAAGCTGTGGTTAGAAATCATACAAATGCACACCATGTAATTAATGTCAGGCTACAATTAATAACTCAGTCAATTTTATGTAAACATGAAATGAGCAAAAGTTCAATTTTAAATTATGTTTATACAAATAGACTTGGTTACAAGCACTTTTAAATTGTAATTTTTTTTTTTATCTAGTGCAGTATTCGGGGGGGGGGGAAGGGATTGTTAGTAATGGGCTCAAATAGCCCTATTACTAGCAATATACCCTGTCAGGTCGACCTCCACGTGGTTCCCCCTGGAAACCATCCTATCTAATTCTAGTTTAATTCATCAGGATGGGCTAACTGACCTACTTTCATCTTCATCTGTCGTCCCTCACTGGTGCCCCGCCAGTGTATACCGATAGCGCAGACGGGGTTACCATACCATTATCACCCATTAAAAAAAAATGCAGTATTCGGAAGATTGCTGTATAAATTTATAATAAATACCAACTAAAATTTAGTACCTCATATCACAGCGCGAACTTCAACTACAGGAATATGGATAGAACAAACCGCTTTTTGTGGATGGAAGGAAAATTACTCATTATTTAATTCTAGTGCCGTTTAATTCGATTATAGCGCCATCTATTGGCAGATTATAATAACCAGATGTTAATGTTGTTGTCATTTAATATTGCCGATATCTAATTTGAGTACGACGCATTTATTGGTAAACAAATTATACAACATATTTTTAGTTAGTTATTTCCCGCGTAGCCTATCGCTATTGACCCATGGCGCCCACATTACCGTCGGAATTGCCAGTGTATGCCGATCAAGTTACGGATATTGGTTCCTTTGCTAATCTACTAACAGAGCTCTCAAAGTGTATTGTACATGCTGTCGCGGATGGCAGAACTGTCACGAAAGCTAATAAACTTTTTATAATAGCTGCAGCCGAGGAAATCTTGGTGCGGTAAATTTTCAACCATCAGTTGAGAACCACTGCCACCTGAGGACCGAGGAAATTATTGAGGGAGTCCGTTACGAACTCAAAAAGTTCAGACAAGAGTTTAACACCCAATCCATCGCCTCTCAACCACCATTTACCTCTTACGCAGCAGTAGCTTCTAAATCAAAATTTGTTCCTGCACCCAAAGTCAAATCCAATCCGGCACTGATCATTAGCTCCACAGAAGAAGGCTCTACCAATTCCCACGAGGTGGTGAGTAAGTGGAAGGAGAATATCTCTTTTCGTCAACTCGGCTACGCCCCGTGCAAAATTCAGCCCATCTCCAAGGGTAGAGTGAGAGTCGAGTTTGATAGCCCGCAACACTGCAAAGAAACTATTGAGCGGACTAAATCGATCCAGGGATTAGCGGCCCAGGAGGAAAAACTTAAACGCCCACTGCTCATACTCAAGGGCATCAGCAAGTCTATTGCTCGTGAGGAACAGATAGAAATAGTTTGCTCACAGAATTCCATTCAGGAAAGTAACATTAGATTGTGCTTCCTCACTAGCAATCGTAACAGTAATTTATACAACGCCGTGGTTGAGGTATCCCCTGACGTCAGGTCTACTATCGTCTCTCTAGGCCGTGTTAACGTCGAGCACCAGAGAGTTCACGCGGAGGATTTCTCTAGGTTCCTGCAGTGTTTTCTCTGCCTCCAATTCGGCCACACTCGGGCCAAGTGCACAGCAGTAATTCATCCCTGCGCCCATTGCGCTGCTACGAACCACTCTCTACCAGACTGCCCCCACCAAAAGGACAAATCTAAACTCCGTTGCTACAACTGTCATATTTTTAACAACAAAACCTCTTCCACAAATTCTGAATTACCTAACACCCGTCACTTAAAGGAAAGTCATTCCGCTATAGACCGAAAAATTTGCCCTCGTATCATTCGCATGCGACAAATTGTAGAGCAGTCTGTCGACTATGGCCTACAAGAACCATCCACTAGCAGTTCTGCAGTGTAACTTAAATAGAAGCTACAAGCGGCGAGTTATAGCCACAGCGAAGTCAGAGCATATTAGTAGAATTGGCAAAAGACTGGCTAGTTTGCCCTCTGGGACTCGAGCTTTCTGGTCTCTTGCCAAAGCTGCACAAGGGAATTTCTGTAAGTCATCTTTTCCACCTTTGCGCAGGGAGGATGACTCGTTGGCCCAGAACGCTAAAGAAAAGGCCGATCTTCTTGGATCCATCTTTGCGTCAAACTCGACATTGGATGACGGGGAGAAACCACCACCGACCATCACGTGTTGTAGGAGCTCTATGCCTGACATTAAATTCACGCATAGCTCAGTGCGTAGAGCACTTTTCTCCCTCGAAATCCATAAGTCGAGTGGGCCTGATGGTATTCCTCCAATTGTGCTTAGGACGTGCGCACCAGAGTTGGCTCCGGTTCTTACGCGTCTTTTTCGGCTTAGCTACTCATCGGGCATAGTCCCAAAGTTTTGGAAGACTGCTCTGGTGCATCCGATCCCTAAAAAGGGAGATCGCTCAGATCCAGCTAACTATAGCTATCACTTCCTTATTCTCGAAGGTTATGGAATCCATCATTAACCGTCAACTGCTCCGGTACCTAGAAGAGCACCGGCTGATCTGTGATCGCCAGTATGGCTTTCGACAGGGACGTTCGGCCGGTGATCTTTTAGCTTACTTAACACACCGATGGGCAGTGGCAATCGAGAGTAAGGGAGAGGCCTTAGCAGTTAGTCTGGATATTGCGAAGGCCTTTGATCGGGTGTGGCATAGAGCGCTGCTTTCAAAGCTACCTTCATTTGGGTTGCCTGCGAGACTGTGCATTTGGGTCGCCAGTTTTCTCAAGGAACGTAGCATTAAGGTCGTAGTCGACGGTGCATGCTCTGATTTAAAACCTTTGAATGCTGGTGTCCCGCAAGGCTGTGTACTATCTCCGACTCTGTTTCTTCTGCATATCAATGATATGTTACAGATAAGTAATATTCATTGCTATGCGGACGACAGTACAGGAGATACATTATATACCGGTCATGCAAAGATCTCGCGGGCACATACCGATGAGTGCCGGAATAGACTTGTGTCTGAAATCGAAACTTCACTCCATCAAGTTTCGATCTGGGGTGAACAAAATCTTGTCCAATTTAACCCCAAAAAGACACAAGTCTGCGCGTTTACCGCAAAAAAGACGCCGTTTGTCGTATCTCCTCACTTTCAGGGCACTTCCCTTGATAAAAAGTCAAGTCTAGGAATTCTGGGCGTTGATATATCTTGCGACGTCCAGTTTTGCGGTCATCTGGAGGAGAAGGCTAAGATAGCTTCCAAAAAGTTAGGAGTGCTCAATAGGGTGAGACGATATTTCATGCCAGAACACCGCCTGAAATTATATAAAGCCCAAGTCAGGCCGCATATGGAATACTGTTCTCACCTGTGGGCAGGAGCGCCACAGTACCAACTCCTTCCGTTAGACCGCATTCAAAGTCGGGCGGCTCGAATTATCGATAGTCAACGCCTTACTGTCCGACTTGACCCATTGAAACTGCGCAGAGATGTTGCGTCTCTGTGCATCTTCTACCGAATTTATCATGGGGAGTGTTCTGAGGAATTGTTCGGATTGATACCTGCTGCTGATTTTCACCACCGTACAACCCGCCACAAACTAAAGTTTCATCCCAATCATCTGGACGAGTGGCGGTCTTCCACCGTGCGTTTTTCAAGGCACTTTCTTCCACGCACAACCATTCTTTGGAATCAACTTCCAGCAGCAGTATTTCCGAACCGATACGACAACATAACCTTCAAGAAAAGAGTATATTCCTTTTTAAAAGGCCGGCAGCACACCTGCAATGCCGCTGGTGTTGTGGGTGATCATGGGCGGCGGTAGTCACTTACCATCAGGTGAGCCGCATGCTCGTTTGCCCCCTGTGTTGTAAAAAAAAAAAAAAAAACAATACTTCAGTTTGAGGCCCTTGATAATAACCAGATTCACGACGCGGTAACTCAGCTCACCAAGGATATACACGCTGCTTGCAGGCGCAATATTCCCAAAAGGACAGGTAATCGAGACTCTAACCCCTGGTGGAACGCCGAGCTAGAGGCCCTAAAGAAACAGTGTATAAAACTTCATCACCGCATACATGACTTGTCTGTGACGGGTAAACCCCTCGGCAGCACACTCGACGAATACCGAGCTCTTAAAGCTGAATATGCTAAGAAGATATCCTTTGCATCTACCCAACATTTCAAAGAGTTTTGTAGTGCTCAAGGTAAGGAGGATGTCTGGGCGATAACCAACCGACTGATGAAATATAGCAATAACTTCCGGTCCCCTCCGCAAACTGTAAGAATAGGCCAAATACACACCGATTCATGCGCCACTACTGCCGCCGCTCTCTTAAATCACTACTTCCCGGATGATGGTCCAGATACTTCTGTTCAACAGCGCCTGCTTAGAGCCGAAGCCAATAATATCCCTGACACTGATGAGGACATACCCTTCACCCGTGAAGAGGTAGAGGAATGCCTGGCTTCAATCTCACCTAATAAAGCTCCCGGTAATGACTCCCTGACTTCCGATATCTGTTTACACGTGTTTAAAGCCATCCCAATGGTAATATTGGGCATCCTAAACCGATGCCTACAAATCGGGTACTTTCCTGAAAATTGGAAGGATGCCCATATTAAGATTATCCCCAAGCCTGACAAAATTGATTCGAATGACGTATCAGCTTTCCGTCCAATCGGTCTTTTGCCAGTATTTGGAAAGTTACTAGAAAAACTTTTTATCAATAGGATTAACTTTCATATACATCAGTTAGGATTGGACAATCCACGGCAATTTGGATTCAAACCGCTTACATCGACAACAGATGCACTACAACATGCTATAAATTGCATTACTGAAGCGCAGTCTGCTGGAGATCAAGTGGTGGCCGTGTCGCTGGATATAAGAGCAGCCTTTGATAATGCCTGGTGGCCCGCTTTGTTCTCCAGGTTAAAACGTATAAATTGCCCTAGGAACTTGTACAACCTCGTCCTTAATTACACTAAGGACCGTAGAGTAATACTTGATTACGGCACAGCCACAATCCAAAAAAATATGTCAAAAGGTTGTATACAGGGCTCTGCTTGTGGTCCTTCTTTATGGAACCTAATTCTTGACGGACTTTTTGATGTTCCTTTGCCTGAGGGATGTGATGTGCAAGCTTTTGCTGACGATGTGCTGCTTATTGTCCGGGGCTGCACAGTGGACGAAATCGAGACCCGTACCCGTATCGCTCTTCGGAGCATCACCGAATGGGGACACTCTGTAAAACTCCACTTTGGCCCGGCCAAAACGCAGGCCGTTGCATTTACTGCCCGGGCCAGAAGCGCAAAAATCGAAATCGACCAGCAATCTATTCCTATTCGGGAGGAGATAAAACTCTTGGGAGTCATAATTGACTGGCGCCTTAAATTTATAAAACATGCCTCACACATCGCTCTCAAAGCCTCTAAACTATTTAACAAGCTAGCTCGAATTACTCGTCCCACCTGGGGCCCTCACCCTGACAATATAGCGACACTATATCGACAGGTTATAGAACCGATGTTTACGTATGCTGCTGGTATCTGGGGCGGTGCCGTTCGATTTACCACAGTCAAACGTAGGCTTCGCACGGTGCAAAGGCAATTCGCTATCCGTGCTATCCGTGCATTTCGTACGGTTTCTGCCGCGGCAGCGATTGCATTGGCACAATTCGTGCCACTTCATCTTAAGGTCTTGGAGTGCACCAAATTGCACAAAGTTAAGGTAACCGGCACACTGGATTGCTTACCTGACGATATAGAACTGGCAAAACCAGTCAAAACTCGACAGCTACTCCATCCGGCTGAGAGACGCACCTTTGAGTTTGCGCTGGCTAACAATGAAGATGATATTAAGCGTTTAACGGCGGGCACACAATACATGATCTATACGGATGGTAGCAAGCTGGACTCAGGTGAAGTTGGTGCGGCAGCAATAATCTATCGACCATCAGGGCAACCTGTCCTAAAAAAGGTGAAACTCTGCCGTACCAACACAGTGTTTACGGCTGAGCTCACTGCCATCAAAATCGGTATTCAGTGGCTTGAAGACACGAAAGTTTCGGATGCTAGTATTACCATACTATCAGACAGTCGCTCAGCCCTTATGGCATTGCAACAGCGCAGCAATAGGGAGCCGACAGTCAATAGCATTCATAGAGCCATACACACATCCTCCAACCACTTTAATTTCGTCTGGGTCAAGGCTCATGTGGGAATTATCGGGAATGAGCAAGCAGATGAAGCCGCCAGAACGGCGGCCACTCTAAAAGTGGCTTCCCAAAAGAATTCGTTCCCGATGTCCTACGCTCGTTACTGCATCAGAAAAGACACATATAGTGCTTCCAACAATGAGTATGTGGCCGAGACTTCTTCGTCATTAATTAGCAGTTGGCTTCCCACACTTGATAGTATTGCTGCGTATAGAAAGGCTGTCCCAATATCATTCGCTATGACTCAAATAATAACCGGGCATTCTTTTGCAAAGCAATATCTACATCGCTTCCGCATTACCGATAACAATACGTGTCCCTGCGACAACAACTCAATCCAGACTATCCAGCACCTGTTGCGTGATTGTCCTATATTCGCTACACAGCGGCACAACCATGTAAGCCGCTGCGCCATGCTTAGAGTCGCACCATACCAGTTAGATGATATCATCTCCAAGAGTCTGCTGTTGATTCGTTTGTTGATTTCTGCACATACATTGTAAACAGGTTAAAAGTCATCAATAATACATAGGTTTAGACAGTCCATTGTACAAATCCATATACATTTTTTATACATTTACATACATTTACCATATTTCGAACATGATCATCATAGATATTAATAATTATAATATATATATAAAAAAAATAATAAAAAAGAATAATATATAAAAAAAAAATAAAAATAAAAATAAATAAATAAAAAAATAAAATAAAAAAAAAAATGAATATAAGTGATATAAGTTTTACTGTGTCAAAATTAGAACAAAAATAATAATAATAATATATATACATACATATATATATATATATATATATATATATATATATATATATATATATATATATATATATATATATATATATATATATATATATATATATATATATATATATATATATATATATATATATATATATATAATAAATAAATAAATAAAATAAAAAAAAAAATAAATAAATAAAAAAAAAAAAAAAAAAAAAAAAAAAAAAAAAAAAAAAAAAGAAAGCATATGTATATGTACTAGTACGTATATTTGGTATTATAAAAATAATATAAAATACTAATAACCAGCAGCTGTACATATATCATTCAGTTCGTCATTATACACGCCCTGTGTGTTTTTGTAGTGTGTTTTCATAAACGCCCTCCGTCATCTCTTACGGCCGGTAATCGGTCGTCCCTCGAACTGGAGACCGGTAGACAGCAGAGGTCGCCAGTTCGGGGGCCGACCACATACTCTTTTTTGTTGCAGTATCCGGCCGTAATGCTCCTCAAATATTGGATCTAAATTGCGTCCTCCATGTACCCTCTTGTATAGGCATTCCGTCACCCGTATCCAATAGCGAGGACGGGATGCCTTAATGATTGTACCGCAAACCATAAAAAAAAAAAAATAAAAAAAAAAAAGTACCTCATATCAATAATAGATGGCACTGTCAAAGATTTAAGGGAGCTATCGTTACATTTGTTACGCAAAATTATGTGAAATGTATCAATTTGCCAATTAAATTTGTATCTTCAACTTTCCAATATGAGTACAATTGTTATCTGTCTAGAAGAGCCCGCAAGAAACTTAAGTCACTCTTTTAAATCTCTGTTATATACCTGGTGACCGCCAACCTTAGAGACGATGTAGATATGGAGAGGTAGCGTAGGGCTTTGTCGGTCCGAGCCAATATGTTGTCCCGCCGATTTTCGCGATGTACAAATGCAGTGAAAATAACACTATTTAAAGCGTATTGTGCATCGTTGTATTCGGCGAGTCAGTGGTTCCGGTATACTCGGGGGGCCTGCAATGCCTTGCGTATCCAATTTAATAATAATTCCAGGTTGCTGTTGCGGCTCTCGCGCTTCTGTAGCGTCTCAGCGATGTTTGCCGACGCTCGCACAGATAGTTTTGACGCAGTCTGGCGTAAAAAGACAGCTTCGTTTTTACGTCGAATACGCGGGAGTAGCAACAGTATCCTGAACATGTTTGTTATTAAATTGGATAGTCCTCTCGTGAGAATGCTCGCCGAGAGGACTAGATCATTATTAGTGATTAAGTATTAACATAGTTTTTAAGTACACTTACTAACAAGAATGGATCCATGTTATCTAAAAATAAATAAAAAAAAAAATATTGCCTATTTATTTTAGACGTGGGTTATAACAGGACAATCATAATATCTTGGGGGGAACAGGGATTGTTAATAATGAGATCCAACAGACCTATTACTAACAAAATACCCTAATAGGTCGACCTCCACGCGGTTCCCCCTGGGAACCATCGTGATTAATTTTTGATGGATTCATCACGATAGGTCAACTGACCTGCTTCATCTTCACCTATCATCCCTCACTGGTGCCCCGCCAGCGTAAACCGATAGCGTAGGCGGGGTTACCATGCCATTTTCACCTATCAAAAAAAAATATTGTTACTGTTACGCAATACTACAGATACCAACATCAGTTATTAAATAACAGGTATAGGAATATTGAAAATTGCTAATTTTTACTAAATATAATACATTGGCAATATTCTTGACTATTAACAAAAAACGGACAATCGGGTCGACTCGGTTATGTTCGTACCGACTCGTGCATGAACAACTACTAAATAAATCATTTTAGTTATTAGTAGAAACGTACATTGGATGAAAATAATAGGCGAATAATTTGAAAATCACAAACATGACCTCCATACATACATACATACATACATATCTGTCACGCCTGTCTCCCATTAGGGTAGGCAGAAACAATGGAACGCCAAATGCTTCGATTTAAACAAACCTCTTTCGCTTCCTCCACATTCATCAATCTTTTCATACACGCTCGCCAGTTACGGGTACTTTTAATTTGGCCCTTCTTCAGCACGTCGCCTATTTGGTCGACATACGTCCGTCTAGGGCGACCCCTACCAACATCTCCATTCATTCATGACCTCCATCGATTCTAAAATTTATATTGATATCCGACCACAATATTTACCAGAGGGAGACTTTGTACAAAAGTCGATTGCATGGGTACCTCTGTCCCATTCGTGTTTCTACCGTGAAGCAGTTGTTTGCATGGCTATGTTTCGGTTTGAAGGGTGGGATATGGCGTGAATTTACTTGGTACAGAAAAATAACACCTGAGTCCTCAGGAATGGCAACGCATGGGGGGTATCATGGGCGAAACAGTATACTCTGTTATGTCCATAGTACTGCTCATGTCTATAGGCGACGGTTACTACTTTCCATCAAGTGGGCCGTCAGCTTGTTTGCCATTCTAAGATGTATAAAAAAAATAATAATCAGAAGGGATTTTTAAAAAATAAAAAACAAGGGTTAAATACAACAGTATGTATTTATTTTTTCTAATCCACAGTACATTTAATCACAATTTACTTAAATTTAATTTAATTTAATTTATTTATTTATTTAATTCCTTATTGTACACACCAGTTATAAGAATATGACAGAGGTAATGAAATGTACAAAGGCGAGCTTAACTCTAATAGAGTTCTCTTCCAGCAACACCCAAAGTGGAAAGGAGCATCAATGTAAGCGGGTAGAGCGGTGTACAATATTGTGACAATTTTATTTATTTAAATGCAGTTTTTCCTTACAACTCTATCCGCGTGTCTAGAATATTCTAAATTAACCGGGATAACATTCTTTGTACTTTGTACTCCATTTCATCCCATCCACTGTCTTTGAGAATTTATCTAAATATTTCTAAAAACAAACTTAGTCCACGGTTCACTTTTAAACCATAATTATGCTTTAAAATAATAAATAAGGAATCGTAGTATCAATAATAAAAACTATTAAATATCTATTTCATACTGGAATATTTCATTTTGGAATCAACTGCCAGCAGCAGTATTCCCGAACCGATGCGACAACATAACCTTCAAGAAAAGAGTATAATCCTTTTTAAAAGGCCGGCAGCACACCTGCAATGCCGCTGGTGTTGTGGGTGATCATGGGCGGCGGTAGTCACTTACCATCAGGTGAGCCGCATGATCGTTTGCCCCCTGCGTTGTAAAAAAAAAATACGAAAAATGCAATGAATTATCTTTTATTTATATATTTATATAAATAAAAATATTAGACTTCTACTCGAACTTAACTCGTTTTTATAACAAATAATGGAAAATGAAACAAACAAGAATTTATGAATGTTTAAAGACCATGGTTTAAATTCTTCTCGTCTACTTGTTTTAGCAATGTGAACAAAGAATACGATGCCTTTATGATCTGTAAAATAAAAAAAAAAAATAAATTAATCAATTAGGTATTTTTTTATGGGTAATAATGAAATAGTAACCCCACCCGCGCTATCTGTATACACCGGCGGAGTACCAGTGAAGGATGATAGGTGAGGATGAAGCAGGTCAGTTAGCCCATCGTGACGAATTCAACAAGAATTGTTCACGATGGTTTCCAGGGGGAACCACATGGAGGTCGACCTGATAGGGCATATTGCTAGCAATGGGGCTGTCAAACTCCATTGCTAACAGTCCCTTTCCCTCCATTAAGTATTAAATTAGGTATTAAAAATAATAAAAATAGCTGACACTAGCTACTTGTCCTTTTTATACTTCGTATATATTCTATCCTCTATCCTTCTCTGACATCGGCGGCTTTTGAATCGAGATTAAAACTATTAAAGTTCGAGCACTGGCTCGTATTTCAGAGGGGGTGAGGCCAGATCGCAGGGGGGGGGGCAGAGAGTGCCCATATTTTTTTTTAACGATGACAATGAAATGGTAACCCCGCCTGTGCTAACGGTATACGCTGGCGGGGCACCAGTGAGAAATAATAGGTGAGATGAAAAGGCAGGTCAGCCCACCGTAAAAAATACACCAGGAATTCAGCACAATGGATTTCCAGGGGGACACATGGAAATCAGCCTGACAGGGTATATTGCTAGAAATAGGATGGTAGTCCATATGTCTAATAATAACCCCCCCCCCCCCAAAGTCTATACTGTATTTTTAATATTAGTATTTAAACTGTACTACTTATTTCTTTGCCCAAATATACAAATGTACAAATATACAAATGTTTATACTATGATAAAAGTATAAATAATTAAAGATTCTACAAAAAGAAAACCGAATGCAATTGTGACAAAACCGGTTATTTTGTGTTAAAACTGAACTAGTGAAACGATTTTGAAAAAAATAATAAAATAATAAATCTGTAAACATATCCTTTCAGATAAAAAAAATCAAATCTGTTTATAACTGACGAAGTCGTGAGGTAACAAACATAAAAAATATCGGACGATCGCAGCGCGACTCATCGAGGTTACTAGTGACCCGAGAGCTGGTAGCTACTTTGCCCAAAAGATAAGTTTGGCAATCCAAAGAGGTAATGCTGCCAGTATCTTGGGTACGCTGCTTCGGTGTGGGATTATTTATAATTAGTATTAGTATTTAAGGAATTTTATATTAACTTTAATTTATTATTGTATTGTTTTTATATAATAAGAGCTAACGTGATATTGATAAAAAAAAAACTGATTTCAATCCAACAAAATTGCAGGTACCATCCTGTAGAAGCACACTTTACCATAAAAATTGTTATTCAATGACCATTAAAATTTATAATTAAATACCAAAAAGTATACGAGAACTGCCATTTAGAAAATTTAAAGATTCATTAAAACATTGGCTTGTTGAGGAGTCTTTACAGTGTGCAAGAGTTTTTGATACAAAAAGGTAAACAACCTATGTACTTGAATTACCTGTCGTGTTACAATGCAGCTGTCATCAATAGACCATGATTTGACAGTGACATTTCTTTCTTTTTTATTGTTGACAAGTGTCTGACATTTTTGATGTATTTTTATATATATATATAACATTTCGAATTTTAATGACTTATTTAACATTTATTCTTTTTAAGTTTTAATATTTGCATGCCTAATTATGGCGAAATATGAAGACTTATACTTATTGTAACATCTACACACTTACCATGTTTCTTGTAAATAAATAAATAAATAAAAATAAATAAATTGTGGAAAAACTACTACCGATTTTAAATAAAAGTTCTATGTGACCAGAAAATACAATTGTATTGAGAACTTTTTGAAGTCGGTTGATAAATAAATAAATAAATAATTACAGCCATAAACGAGCTGAGCGAGAGCGTCGTGAATCCGCCAGCGGTGATCTTTGCTATGCGCCGCGAACGGGTCATCACGATCAGTAAGTCGCGCCTGAGTCGTGGGGACATCAGGTACCAAGGACACAGGTATGCGGCTGTTGATATTTCAGAACTCTGCAACACCAATAGCTTTTTTTGGAACCTATTTTCTTAATGCGTGAAGAGAAAATAAAGTAGTGACCCGGTCTACGCTATCGGTATACACTATCGGTATACACAAGCAGGTCAATTGGCACGTCTTGACGAATTCATCAATAAACCGTAAGGATTTCCAGGGATTACCGCGTGGTGGTCGACCTGTTAGGGTGTATGTATAGCTAGCAATGGGGCAGCTAGACTCCATTACTGACAATCCTTTCTTCTTTGGTACCTATTGGCGCATACCAGTAGGCCCCTTTGGTACCAAGGGGGTAGAGGATCCCATGGGGGTGTCACAGTATATTCTGTGATATCCGTGGTGCTATTCATATCTCCAGCTAGGCGAAAATTACCAATTTCTGTTAAGTGAACCAAGCTGCTTTGCCTTACCAGATTATATACATAAAAGAGAATATACAAAAATTTATCTGTTGCAGATAGTCTGGGAGACTTTGTACAAATGTCGATTGCTTGGCTACCTCTGTCCCATTCGTGTTTCAACCGTGAAGTAGTTGTGTTTGCATGGCTGTGTTTCGATTTGAAGGGTGGGATATGGCGTGAATTTACACGATACAGAGGAATAACACCTAATAAAAAAAACTATTCTATAAAATATGAATAAAACATACTTCTGTGGACAATTGGTTGCCTTGATAACAGTAGATGAATACTTGAAACGTCATATTTGTCAAGTACGTTCCCATTGACAGTAAACGCACCATATTACCGGTTTGCTGGAAAGGAAATAAAAAATATTCAAAAATATATAAAATGAATGGTATGGAATGATGGGATTTATCAAATATTTATAATAAACTAGCGGCCCGTCCCGGCGTCGCACGGGTGGACATTTTTACATTTTAAAAAGTGCCCATTAAGGCTGCACACGCGACGGAAGCTTAAAAAATGGAGTAACTTCTCCCGATTTCCCAATATTTCCCTTCACTGCTCTGCTCCTATTGATCGTAGCGTAATGAAAAGTATACTATAACCTGGCCAGGAGTAAGAAGAACAATTGTACCAAGTTTCGTTAAAATCCGTCGAGTAGTTTTTGTTTCTATAACGAACATACAGATAGACAGATAAAAATTTTATAATATAAATATCACCCCCTGATAGTTATTTTGGAAATATATTTCATGTACAGAATTGACCTCTCTACAGATTTATTATAAGTATAGATTTATGATTCACATAATTAAGTTTGTGTTCCATAAAAAACCGACTTCAATTGTGGCAAAACAAGTTATTTTGATTTAAAACTGAACTACTAAACCGATTTTGATTGAATTTCTGTAGGATCAGTCTGTAAATATGGTATATCTTTTGATATAAAAAAAAAGAATTTTCCAAATCGGTTCACAATTGATAAAGTTATGAAGTAACAAACATAAAAAAAATACAACCGAATTGAGGAACCTCCTTGTTTGGGGGGAAAGGGATTGTTAGTAATGGAGTCTAACTGACCCATTGGCAGCAATACATCCTCTCAAGTCTACCTCCACGTGGTTTCGCCTGGAAACCATCGTGGTTTATTCTAGTGGAATTCGTCACGATGGGCTAACTGACCTGCTTTCATCGTCACCTATCATCCCTCACTGCCGGTGTATACCGTTAGCGCAGGCGGGATTACCATTCCATCATCACCCATTAAAAAAACAAACCTCCTTATTTTTTAACCAGTTTGAAAATATATATAAACTATATACTTAATATTCGTTATATGTGTCCAATAAAAAAAAAAAAAAGATATATCAATACTACTACTAAAAGGCCGGCAGCACACCTGCAATGCCGCTGGTGTTGTGAGTGATCATGGGCGGCGGTAGTCACTTACCATCAGGTGAGCCGCATGCTCGTTTGCCCCCTGTGTTGTAAAAAAAATACCTACTTCATGAACATAAAGATAAGAAGAAAGTCTCTTCTTATTGTACTGAAAACGTGTACTGAAGTACCTGTGTCTCATCAGATTTTTTTAATTTCAGAATCATCAATACATACGGACACTAGTTGGAAGGCTGTGACGCATATTATCAAAAGGGACACGTTGAACTGTGCGAAGGTGGGCGCTGAGAAACAGTTCTGCAATAGTACGGCTGCTTCTAACACGGTCTGATGCTGTATAGCGCAGTCTCGGAGGCGAGCACGCGCTATTTTTTCTTGATTTGGTGACAGCGACATCTAGTGATAAACATATGCAACTTATGCATTATATTTTTTAAGGATGTAGATCAGCCTTTCCCAAAGTGGGCGATGACGCCCCTTGTGGGCGATGCTGGCCTAAAGGAAGGTGATAAGAGACCCAGAAAAAAAATAGGGGCGTTGTGTAAAGGCTTGGGGGGTGATTTGTTGATCTTGAAGTAATAGTGGTTTTTAAGTAGGTGAAAAAATTAGGGGCGCTTGAAAATCATTTATTCTCAAAGTGGGCAGTAGACAAAATAAGTTTGAGAACCCCTGATGTAGACGGACCCTTTCGTGTCAGCCTCAAATCCTTTTTTGAATTAAAAATTAAACTTTTGAAGCAATGTTGTTAAAATTACTATAAGATCAATCTGTAAGTATTTCCTTTCAGATAAAAAAAAAATTCAAATCAATTTACACTTGACGTAAATACAATCGAATTGAGAACCTCCTAAACAACGCCATCTAGTGATTATTTGGAGATATGCGTCTAACAACATTTCAAGCTTCTTTCAGGAGCACATGAATTGTTTATAAAGGTAGGTACAGATACTCTTTGATCTCTGTTTGACTCCGTTGCAAAAATTTAATAAAATCTACAACAAAGAAGTCATCATAAAATACTCTTTTTTTATTATTATTTTTTTTTAAATCGATAAAGATTTTCCCGTATTAATTTAATCACGATGTACTATCTAGTACCTAATTAAAAAAAAATATGCAAATTAAAATGGCAAACAAGCTGACCGCCCCCCCGATGGAAAATGGTAACCGTCGCCTACAGACATGAACAATACCATGGACATAACTGAGTATACTGTTTCGCCCATGATACCCCCTAAACGTTGCTATTCCTGAGGGCTCAGGTGTAATTTTTCTGTGCCCTGTAAATTCACTGCCATATCCCACCCTTCAAACCGGGGGGAAAGGGATTGTTAGCAATGGAGTTTGACAGCCCCCTTGCTAGCAATATGCCCTATTAGGTCGACCTCTACGTGGTTCCCCCTGGAAACCATCGTGATGAATTCCAAGTGTATTCAACACGATGGGCTAACTGACCTGCTTTAACTTCACCTATCATCCTTCACTGGTGCCCCACCTAGAGATTTATTTTAAATATAATTTTATTACCGCTGCGCCCATAGTTGTATCATAATATTGATTAACCTTCCTCAAGAAATGAACTATAAAAAGAATGTTTTAAATGCGTCTGATATTTAGAATAGAACAAAAAATATTTATTGCCAAAAAAACACAATTACAATAGAAAATACAAAAATATTGCATATATAAAAAGTGTCTCATATCAGGCAAAAGGAACTGGCTCGGCTGATGCTGTGAGTGTCCCAGTGCAATATGGACCGCTGCACAGCGCTGTCTTTCAGTCAGTACCTCTCTTAACAAAATACAACATACAATACTTCCAGAATTTTTTTTTATACAACTTAGAATGGCAAACAAGCTGACGGCCCACCTGATGGAAGTGGTAACCGTCGCCTATAGACATGAGCAGTACCATGGACATAATAGAGTATACTGTTTCGCCCATGATACCCCCCATGCGTTGCCATTCCTGAGGACTCAGGTGTTATTTAGGTATTCCTCTGTTAGATTAGCGCGTAACAAACATACGTTTAATTATATATTAATTATTTAAAAAACTAACCGACTTATCATCATGCAAATCTTGACACAAAGACTTCAGAGATAGTCCGATTAGCTTCAAACGGCAGTGGCACTGGGCAATCATGGTGGTCACCATCGTATCTTTGGACACGTTCAGGAAAGCAGTCACACACACAATGTACACTTGGAGCCCGAAAGTGAGCTCGTACGCTGGTGATTTTGTCGTGTCATATGGATACCTATTAATTAAAAAAAAAAACTTGTAATTGGCATACTCATTTATATCAGCCGTTAATTATCTACTGCTGAACAGAGGGAGACTTTGTACAATACTCGTTTGCTTGGACACCTCTGTCCCATTCGTGTTTCAACCGTGAAGCAGTTGTGTTTGCATGGCTATGTTTCGGTTTGAAGGGTGGGATATGGCGTGAATTTACTGGATACAGAGGAATAACACCTAAGTCCTCAGGAATGGCAACGCATGGGGGGTATCATGGGCGAAACAGTATACTCTGTTATGTCCATGGTACTGCTCATATCTATAGGCGACGGTTACTACTTTCCATCAGGTGGGCCGTCAGCTTGTTTGCCATTCTAAGTTGTATAAAAAAACCTTTTCCATAAGGAGAGTTTTGCCAGTAGCTGCTACGCTTGGCAGGGAGATTGGCATCCGCAGTTAGGCTTTTAGTGATGCTTTAAGAGGGCCTCTGCTGCCCATCCCTCCACCATTTAGTTCCTTTAATCGCCTCTTACTATACCCACGGGAAATCAATTGATGGTATATTCTATGCCGGGACATGCATATTATATTTGAGAGAGAAACAAAACGTCATACATTCATATGCACCTTGCACCTTATTTTATGATTGCAGAAAGTCACATTTTAAAAACAATCAGAGACATTAATTGAAAATTTGTAAAGTTGTAGGACTTCGATATGAACACATCCTTTGTAGAGTTTTTCAGTTTCAATAGAACACTGGATTTACTGTTTCTAATGTCTGCAGATAGATGGCATTAAAACTATTTCTTCAAAAATATTATATTATTATTTCTAAATATGTAATAAAGTTTTTGAAGATGTTTAAATATTTCTTACTTAAATTATACCCAAAGGATTTAAAATAAACGTGACACATGGACGATATACATAAAACAGTTTTTATTCTAAATCTAGATGATAAAACAACAAATTACAGTTAGTAATCAATCAAAATCCAAACATACCAAGCCCGTAATGGTAGACTGCCATGTTCAGCGCTCGACATTAATCCAACAATGGTAACATACGTCAGGGTTAAATACGTCAACAACTGGATCTTGGTCTGACGATTGCAGCTTTGACAGAACAATGTTATAACTTTATAAGCATATAAAATAAAATATAAATTATAGGGTTAGAGACTTCGTATAAAAGTTGTCTCTCTGTATAAGTTTTATATACATTCATATAATTAATTAGATATCAATGAAAATGACAAGGTATACAGCAGACTATATATATATATATATATATATATATATATATATATATATATATATATATATATATATATATATATATATATATATATATATATATATATATATATATATATATTTGTACAAATAGTTCTATACCATTCGTGGTTGTGTTTCCAAGCAGCTATGGTCATAGGCATAAAATCATAGTTTTAAGGAATGCATGAGGCAAGAACGTGATGGAATACACTGAGGTGTAAGTACTTATAACTTTATTACAGGATTATTTAATGTCAAATTATTATATAATATTAAGGTTTATATTTAATTACGCCCAATTCACTAATGAAACATGGGTACCCATTACCCAAGCAAGAGACTTTTGTACAAAGTCTCCATCTGATAGTGGTTTTATTCCAAAATAAAATTAAAAAAATATTTCTGTATTTTTTTATGCAACTTAGAATGGCAAACAAGCTGACGGCCCACCTGATTGAAAGTGGTAACCGTCGCCTATAGACATGAGCAGTACCATGGACTTGTTTGCACTATTTTGTACTATTAGTACCTACATTTTGTAAAGTAATAAAACATTATAAAAAATAAATGTTAATAATACCTACAAGATTTTACTGTATGGTAGTTACGCTACCTCTTAATCATTTCAGTTATCGACTGAATACCATTCGATTCATTAATAATAATCCTATTGTTTGGCAAATGAAGGGCATTATTGTCCAAGTTTCAACACAAAAGGTAGTTTACATTTAATTGTTCTAGTCTTGTAAAAACATAAAACCTAACTAATGTACAAGATGAATCGAAATTCACAACAAAATCGAAGTTTACCAGAGGGAGACTTTGTACAAAAGTCGATTGCTTGGGTACCTCTGTCCCATTCGTGTTTCAACCGTGAAGCAGCTGTGTTTGCATGGCTGTGTTTCGATTTGAAGGGTGAGATATGGCGTGAATTTACATGGTACAGAGAAATAACACCTGAGTCCTCAGAAATGGCAACGCATGGGGGGTATAATGGGCGAAACAGTACTCTGTTATGTCCATGGTACTGCTCATGTCTATAGGCGACGGTTACCATTTTCTATCAGGTAGGCCGTCAGCTTGTTTGCCATTCTAAGTTGTATAAAAAAGAAAAAAGAAATCTATTCTTTATAAACCATGCATCGGATTTATATACGCGTTTTAGTCTTTAAAATATTTTTTTTTTATTTTTATTGCAGAAGTTTTTGCTACAGTAGTGTAACAATAGAGTTACAGAGCAGACAAAATGCATACCTCACTTCTGAGGAGAGACGTGGTCAGTAAAATCGTGAGCATAAGAAGAATTGAATAATTTATTACATAAAATAGAATATTTACTTTGAAATTTGAATAAATACTTTGAAAATTAGAATGTTAACTCGAAGAACGTACAAGAATTGTGCAAATAAACTATCAAGATAAAAAAAGATTCGAAAATTTCGACCCATCGAAAATTATTTGGAGCGCAATTTCAGGGAAGGAAGTTGTATAACAAATTACCAATTGATCTGAAAACTATCCAAAATTGGAGAATATTAAAAATCAAACTCCATGCCTTTCTGTTGGAAAAATGTATTTATAAAATAAATGAATTTTAGGGATATATTAATTGTGAGTTGTTTGTGGTTGCTTGTTTTTTTTTTTTTTTTTTTTTGACTGAAACTGTTATTATTATTAATTCGTTGATTGTATCTAACATTGTTTATATGTAAAATTCCTATCATACCTATTCGACACAATGTAATATTGTTATGAATAAATTGAATTGAATTGAATATTTGCTTTTTTTTTTATTTATATAATGTGTTCTCTTCGATGGTGCCACGGGCCCCATGTGATACGAGTATAGTAAGGCCAGATAATTTTAATGTAATAAATTGCAAGTGTGACTTTTTTATACTTTAAATCGTCTATTAATATTTATATTATACGATATAATAATAATATTTTATACGAATAATTTATATTAGATGAATATTTACGTCTGTAATAATTTTAATAATTCAAACTAAAATAATTAAATTCTATTAAACCTTAAATTTGAAAAACTTTCATTTTTTCATTAACCTTTTAAAGATTTTCAGAAATGTATAAAAGGCAGTATTTTGTAGAGGTCAAATAAGTTCATCAGTTAAATGATTTGGTAATTTTTTTATGCCACCAAAATGGAAAAGTAACGGTGAGCTATTACCGCAGAATATGAACACCTGCAATATCTTTTTAACGAATACAAATGAAAGAGCGACCTCTCCTGCGCTCTCGGTATACGCTAGTGGAGCACCAGTAAGGGATGATAGGTAAGGCTGAAGGAAGGTTCACCAGAGGGAGACTTTGTACAAAAGTCGATTGCTTGGGTACCTCTGTCCAATTCGTGTTTCTAGCGTAAAGCAGTTGTGTTTGCATGGCTGTGTTTCGGTTTGAAGGGTGGGATATGGCGTGAATTTACAGGGTACAGAGGAATAACACCCGAGTCCTCAGGAATGGCAACGCATGGGGGGTATCATGGGCGAAACAGTATACTCTGTTATGTCCATGGTGCTGCTCATATCTATAGGCGACGGTTACCACTTTCCATCAGATGGGCCGTCAGCTTGTTTGCCATACTAAGTTGTATAAAAAATTTTTTTTTTCATTACCTTTTAACAATCGCTACAGCTTCTTCATTTTTAACACTCCGCAGAACATCGTCAGAACTATCGACTATCATCTTTATCAATTTCCTTTTGAGATACAAGTTTATAAATTTCGTGGCATGCGCCAAGTTGGTGCCGAGAAGGAACAACGTGGCCGTCATTAAAGGAATATTTCCCCATATCACGAAAAGATCAACTGCCTGAGTTAGGAAGTTACCTGAAAAATTTAAAACCATTCTGTAAGTATTCTTTATTGTCACCATATTGCTGAATATAGGCATCCCCCGTCATCCATTAGGTCCCGAACCATCTGCATCCACTGACTCGCTGCAAGGCGTTTATCACTTCGTCTAATGGATGTTCATCCTACACTACATTTTCCTGTAAGAGCTCGCTCCTCAAGAACCTTTCTTCCCCATCGGTAGTTGGTTCTTGGAACTATATGACCAGCCCATTGTCACGTCTGCTTGTTTATCCTTTGAGCTATATGTGTCCGTTTGGTTCTTCGGCGGATTTCCTGATTTCGGATTTTATCACGCCTAAAACCTCCGAGCATTACCCCTTTTTGTAGCGAGGCGAAGGGACTACATAACAAAAGTATACAAAAATAATTAAATTTAAATGAAACTTTTTTTTTTAATAAAAAAAAAGAAGGACTTCAATATGAAAGTGCAGGAAGCAAGAGATGTTTGTAAGGATAGTCTTTGACACTTGATTCTTTCCCCTCAAAGGACTTGGCGAGAAGATAGATCGATAGGAGGTCTTCGATTCATCTTTTTTTGGAATTATATTACGAAATAACATGGCCAGTTCTGAATTGATTTTAATAATATATTTTGCATACGATAGGATTTACTTGCGTGTTATTTCCTGTTTTATTTTGTGATATTCGAAGCTACAAATTTTCTTTGCAAAAAAAAAACTTCTTGTTGCGAAACAAAATCTTGTGATGAAACGATCCCAGGTTCTAATGCAGACTTTTTCTATTTAATGTATCTACGAAACATGTCATTGTTTATTAATATTTTTTATGCAAACTTAGAATGGCAAACAAGCTGACGGCCCACCTGATGGAAAGAGGTAACCGTCGCGTATAGACATGAACAGTACCATGGACATAACAGAGTATACTGTGTAGCCAATTATACCGTTCATGCGTTGCCATTTCTGATTACTAAAGTGTATGTATTTTAGAATGATTTAAATCACAGATTTTATTTAGGAAAATAATTTTTTTAAATATCAAATAATTAAATTGCAGTTCTTACCCACATAAAACGTAAAAGATAAAAAACCGTAATATTTATAAATTAACTCATAATTTCCCTTGAAATCATCCGGTGCCCAAAATCCTACTAATCTCAGTGCAGTTAATGAAATAATTAGAGAAAAGTTAACATTATTTACAATAATATTCATTTTTCATAACACAATTGCACGTAGATTCGATGACAAATGAGTTAAATCAGAAGTTTGACGGTAAATTTATTTGCTCGCTAACACTTTGCTAGACGAATGCAGCTGTAAAAAACATTTGGCTAAGTTTTTTTTTTTTTTTTATATTTTAAAGGGCTTTTACCTTCTTAAGGTATATCAGTCCTATTGTACCCTGAACTGATTTCTACAACAAAACTTTATCTACCTTCCCTAGACGCGGAAAGAGAAGAATTAATGGGCATCAATAATTTACACAGATGTTCAAAAATTTCTGGTTTAGCTAATATAGTTTGAATAAGACCAGTTGTAATCAAATAAGAAATGTGGAAATGACGAATTAAATACCCAAAGTTAATATTTAACGCAGTGTTCACTTTATTTGTGTCTTTCGATCACTATTGTTTTCTATAAAAAGTATTATTTCGTAAATTAAATAAAAACATTGTAATAGGTAATTTAAATTTTTCTCTTACACGAGTAGAAAATTAACAGTTTCAAACAAACTGAAAACTTTACAAATAAATTGAATTATTTTCTCTCTCTCTCTCTCTCTTTCTCTTTTTCTCTCTTTCTCTCTCTCTCTCTTTCTCTTTCTCTTTTTCTCTCTTTCTCTTTCTCTTTTTCTCTTTTTCTCTCTTTCTCTCTCTCTCTTATTCTTTTTCTCTCTTTCTCTTTCTCTCTTTTTCTTTTTCTCTCTTTTTCTCTCTCTCTCTCTCCCTTTTTCTCTCTTTCTCTCTCTCTTCTTCTTTTTCTCTCTTTCTCTCTCTCTTTTTCTTTTTCTCTCTTTCTCTCTCTCTCTTTTTCTTTTTCTCTCTTTCTCTTTCTCTCTCTTTCTCTTTCTCTCTTTCTCTCTTTCTCTCTTTCTCTCTCTCTCTCTCGTCTCTCATCATTCGATTGTACTTTTTTATGTTAGTTACCTTAGGAATTCGCCATTCAAAAAGTGATTTGAAAAATTCTTTTATTATCTGAAAGGATATACTTTTGAATTGATCCCGTAGATATTTTACCAAAATCAGTTTAGTAATTTAATTTTTAAATCAAAATAACAGGATTTGCTAATGAAGTCGAATTCCTTTGTGAAACAATACATCATAAGTAAATTAATAACTAATAAAATGTATATATTTGGATGTATGTGTTTATTTATGTATTTGTATATGACTATGCTGTCACAGATATTATTTTTAACAGATCTATTTCTTTTAACGCGCCACCTACCTATTTATGCTTTAATTCCTTCTACCCAAAGGTTGTCTGGAAGAGATTGCTTAGCAATAAGACCGCCTTTTGTACTACACTATACGCATTGAAAATTGTTTAACAAATCATGTTATGTTGGTGGAATAAAGTGTTAAATAAATAAATAAATATTCATAATTTAATAATTTATTTCGTGATTCACTGTTCATCACAAAGGTTGACTGGTAGAGAATGCTACTAGCATTAAGACCAACTTTTGTATACTTGGTCCTTTGGTCAATAAAGTTATTTAAATAAATAATTAATTTTCGAGTGATGACGGGACAAACATACAGACAAACAAACTTTCTAAAAAAATATTGTCTTATCATCTGATTGGTGATATTGAAACTCCTTTAAATTAATTTCATCATATTAGTAAGATTATGAAAATAAAATAATATTTAAATATAAAGGTCGATGACCCCTGTAGTATTCATTTAAAATAATTGTCAACTATCCATAAACAGACAAACATGTGATTATAATTTCAATAATCATTACCTACGGCTAAAAACTACGCTTTGTTGGTAATTTTTACTCTTGTACAGCTAGGAACGTTGCAATTAAATCGACTAATTAAATAATTATCTGTAATAATACAAAAGCGTTCATAAAAACCTGTTATTTCATAACATTAAAATCACTAGCTTTCAAATAAATTAACATCGGAAAATACTATAACTGTCCTACGTCATTCTCTCCTTTTGTATGTGTGCTATTAAATATATGCATGTTTACATCTCACTCTCTCTATGTATATATAATATATATATATATATATATATATATATATATATATATATATATATATATATATATATATATATTGGGGGGAAATGGATTGTTACTAATGGAGACTGAGAATCCCATTGCTAGCAATGTACCCTATCAGGTCGACCTCCACGCGGTTCCCCCTGGAAACCATCGCGAATTCTCGTGAAATTCTTCACGATGGGCTAACTGACCTGTTCTCATCCTCACCTGTCACCTCTCACTCTCACTGGTGCCCTGCAAGTGTATACCGATAGCGCAAACAGGGTTACCATTCCATTTTCACCCATTAAAAAAAATATGTCATTAATATGTCATTATATCACAAAAAAGGCCACATTCTTGACCAGTACCTGTAATATATATATATATATATATATATATATATATATATATATATATATATATATATATATATATATATATATATATATATTACTCCTCTCCATCCAAAGGTTGCCTTTGTTGAAGAGATCGCTCTTAACGGTAAGGTCGCCCATTGTTTTCTAAGTTATAATAATAATAATAATATAATAATAATACTTTATTATGCAGACTACAATGCGGTCCAATTTTGTTAGTAACAATTTTCTTACAAACTATGTTAGTAAAAAAAAAAAAGAAAAACAAATTGATTTAATTAAGCATTTCACCCAGATGTGACCCAGCCGACTAGATCAGCATCTGAATGAAATGCCCAATTATAGGCGAGTTATATTTCTCGCCTATTACTTTTAGAATGCTGTTGGTGCTTGTCCTAACCCTGTTTAGCAATGATGCAGTCCTCTTTCTCCTTACAGCGTAGTAGTCATCTACGCGAGATTGAGCAAACATGCTAGAAGCGCTACAAAAGCGAGGCAGCCCCAACAGCACTCTAAAACTATTATTGTACTGGATTCGTAGGGCACTGAGTGAGGCCTGTGTGCAGTTAACCCACAGACTGCTCGTGTAGAATGTTTGGCAGTATGCTTTGAAGAGTGTGATTTTTACTTCTTCACTACAACGGGCAAACCTGCGAGCCAACATGTTACATCTAACAGCCAGTGCCCTACGCTCCCTTGCGACATCAGTTTGACCTTTAAGGTCATCAGTAACATAGTGCCCTAGGTATTTAAATTTATGCACTCTTTTTATATTTGCTCCGTGTAATTGGATATCGGGCACATGCGTGGGACATTTACCGTTGGCCTTAAATATCAAATACTCTGTCTTGTTTACATTGTATTTTAGCCCATGACTCGCTGAGTACGTCTCACACATATACATAAGCTGTCTTAGGGCTCTAATCGTTGGAGTCAGCAGCACCATGTCATCAGCATAGCTAATGTTGTTGATACAGACATTATCTACGTGACATCCAACACGGCTACTGCTGAGTCCAACAATCAGATCATTTATGTACAAATTGAAGAGCTTGGGCGAGGTTAAACCACCTTGCCTCACTCCGCATTCCAGCTTGTACTCCTCGGAAAGCGCATTTCCCCACCGAACGTTGTTTACCTGATTGGTATACCAATACTTCAATATATTAATAAGTCTACTACATACGTTATTGTCTTTAAGCTTTTCCCAGAGGATATCATAAGACACAAGATCAAAGGCCTTGGAAAGATCCAGAAAACATGCAAATACCGGCGTTTGTCTGCTTGTATAGTACTGCACAGTATGCTTAAGACTCAGAACTGCCAATTCGGTAGATAGCCCAGGACGGAAACCGAACTGAGCATCATGTAAATGTAGATGTTTGTTTAAATATGAGTCAAGCAAACTGTCCAACACCTTAGATACAACAGTTGCCAGTGAAATAGGTCTATAATTGTTACAGTCCGAGATATCACCAGTTTTATTTTTTAAAATTGGCACAACCACCGTTTTAATTAATTTGATGGGTAAATACGCATGACTTAAGCAAAAGGAAAAGAACATTGATAAAACTCGCGGGAGATGCACTCCGGCATACTTGAGATGTTCTATGCTGAGTCCATCATATCCGGGAGACCTACCCCGCTTCATCATTCGAATGGCATTTGCCACTTCAGCGCTAGAAAAACGAAGCAGATCCTCACTTCCATCGCATTCAGCGTATATTGTTGATTGCGCTGGTCCCAATGGCGAAACAACTGTAAATTGTTTTTTAAACATATTTGCTATCATCTCAGGTGTGCTACAGTCCGCGACACGAGCAGGCAGACCAGGTCTTATATTGATGTTATTTGTTGATTTCCAGAATTTATTAAATTTCTTAGATCTGTGATGTGAAGCCACGATATCCATTTTAATCTGCTCTTGATGATTTTGACACCATCGTAATTTACTTTTATAAATTTTCCTGCTTAAACACATTTCTTTATATACAGGCCCGCACTGTGGTTTATTATAAAAGATCCATTTTTGATATTTAAGATTGGCCTCCCTGTATGCATCGCGGACATGTCTGTTCCAACCGATTACATTCTTTTTTACACATTTACCGTACACACAACTAGTTTGTAAAGCGGCGTCTGTTAGCACTTTAATAATATCTGAATACATTTTGTCTAAATAGTTTTTGTGCTCCGGTAACTTACAACTTTTATCGGCACATAATTCAAAAACTTCCGGAAAATGCATTAATTTAAATTTACTGTTACATAGATCATGGTATCTATTAGTTTGATCATTATTTCTTTCACCCCATTTAATCTTACAACTATTATACTGTGTCGTCAGTGACACTTTTTGTCTGACAACACTAAGATCACAACTCAAAATTAATGGCAAATGATCCGACCAATAAATATCCCGACCCACATTTACATCTGTAACCGTACTCCAGGCCGCCTGTGTAACAATACAGTGGTCCAACCATCGTGTACAACCATGAGCGTCACTTATAAACGTATAACTTTGTGAGTCTAGTCCTAATAATTCAATGTCAGCACATGTCCAGTTTTGATCACTACAAAAATTAGATAACTCATTAGCAAATAATTCACCGGGATGTGCGTTAAAGTCCCCCAGTATATAAACAGCTTCAACATCAGTACTCTGAATAATCGAATTTATTTCACTTAAACACTGGGCGAACTCGGGTAAATTGTCAGTTGCGTCGGTAGGCATATATACGCTGAATATAAGTATAGATCGATCAGTGATCGAGGCCCTAATCGCCGCAAGTCTCACACTCTCACATTGAATAATAGACACTTCGTGAAACACGTTCTTACGCCATAACAGAGCTACGCCGCCGTATGGCCTTCCACGAAGTATTCCCGCGGATGTATCCACAGCCGACTTACCTGTATATTCAAATTCGTCGTGAACCTGTCCTAGGTAGGGAATATCATGTGGAAGCAACCAAGTCTCTTGAAGTGCCACCAGGTCAGTAGTCTGACACAAGCGTCTAACATCTTCAATAGAACGCTTAATTGACTTACAATTATAAGTTACAAATTGTGTTATATCTTTTTTCTTATTCATTTTTATTATTATTATTTTCACCTTTACCAACTGGATGTTTTAGGTAGACATAACGTCTGAAAGATATACCATCCGGCCAAATTTCATCATTCAAAAACTGCTGTATTTTATTTTTAGAAACAAACAATTTATAACAATTGTAAGATCTTTCTTTTTTCGTGTTTATTTTATGTAAAGTAACTATATCACCTGTCTTCTTTTTTATGTACTCACTTATGTCCTCTTCCTTCGTATCTTTTGATACGTTAGATATAAAAAGTGGCACTTTAATTTCAGCTGCCTTAAACCTTCCGTTCGCATCCGTAGACGCCTTTCCCAATTGTCCTATAAATCTATATTTCTTAACCTTTTTCTTAGTAACATACGTCCAATCGTTTTTTGTTACTATTTGTTCTCCTTCTTTCGTATTAGTTGGGCTTAGTACCTCTGCCATAGTACGTGATCGATCTCGATTCCTTCTCACTCCAGTGACTTTTACATTCATGGTAGGTGCTGTTTTCGCACTCGAAACTGGTTTTTCGATTGATACCGTCATGCGCTGTTGATTCTCATAATCCAAAGTTTGTGTTGTACCCTCCATCACACTTTTAGTATTTTTTTGCGGTGATAAGATTTTGTTGTCACAAATTTTTTCATCTGTATTAGATACAGGAATGTTTTGCAATCCCATAGGCCCACTATCACATGTAAAACTGTTTCCAAATTGCGCTCCTCGCTTTTTGTTTATATATTGAAAATCATTTAAGACAGACGCATGCATTAAATTTTCCATACCCATCTTCAACTGATTATAGTCATCGACAGTGACATAGTTTTCATGAACGTGTTTAAGATCAGTTTTCAGCATTACAATATCTTTTAAAAGACCCGTAACATCTACATGGTCAAATGTGACCGGCGGGAGTTTATGCAAATCTTTGGCAACAAAAATAGGCATATCCTCGGTGTTCGTACTTTTTATTAGATCTATAATATCGTCCAGTTCTCGCACATTCTTCCCCTGCTTGCGACGTATCTTGCGTTTTGCAGTTGGTATTGAGTCGAACAGCATACTTTTTGCGGTCGATATATCCTCCGGTGAGAAAGCACTATTACATATTAAATGTATACTTTTTTCGTCCATAACATCCACTTTGTTTATAATGAACGCTAATACTTCATTTATAACTACATTACACGAATTACATTTAATCACATTAGAGGCCATTTTTAACAGCTACTTAACGCACCGACCGTTTGTTAGCGCGGTCACTCACTGATGTTATAATAAGTTTACTATTGTAATCTTTTGGAGAAAACAATAAAGAGTATCTATCTATCTATCTATATAAAATAAATTATAAATAAAATAGTACTGATCGGATTACAAACTTTAAACATAACTGTAGCCGGTCCAGCATTTGACTACTCATAATATGAATGATAACATACGAATATGATAAGCACTATGATAACTGCCCGCATGTACCGTCGCTGTAGCTGACCGATATGGTTATCTGATAATGGACTTCATGTTACAGTTGATATTTTAGTACACCCCATATTAAATGACAAAGTAAATTCTATTTCATATTTTAAAACAATACACATATTTAAGTACCTGTGTTTGCATGGTTATATTTCGATTTAAAAGGTGGAATCGTCATCTTATGGAATGGCCTTCTTAACTGGCCACCGCTGTACAAAAGCCTTCCCCAGAAAGGGAGTTTTGCTAGTAATTGCCACGCTTAGCAGATAGGTTGGCAACCGCAGTTAGGAGGGGAGAAAGGGATTGTTAGTAATGGAGACTGAGAATCCCATTGCTCGCAATATACCCAACCAGGTCGACCTCCTCGCGGTTCTCCCTGGAAACTATCATGGTTAATTCCTGATGAATTCATCATGATGGGCTAACTGACCTGTTTTCATTCTCATCTATCACCCTTCACTGTTGCTCTGCCAGCGTATTCTGTTATCGCAGGCGGGGTTGTCATACCATTTTCACCCATCAAAAAAAAAAAACCATCATATATATTGAATGGCAACGTATGAGGGTACTATGGACGCTACATAACAGAGTATACTGTTTCGCCCATGATACTACCCATGCGTTGCCATTCTTGAGGGCTCAGGTGTTATTGGCAATGCTTTAACTGTTTCTGATTTAACCCTCACTCTAAAAATAACCTGATGTGTGACACTTAAACTATATATTTAATGAATTTCAACCGGCTTAGAAAAAAATTCTCTCAAATCCGGTCTGCATTTTTTTGGCATATTTCACACGATAGCTCGGTTAATTCTGTATAAATTTTCATAGTAATTTTTTTAATCTACAACGCTCATAAGTCGATTTTAGGAATTAAGATGGTCAAAAATATTATACCGTGTATTTTGTTTTTCTTTTTTTAGCTTTATTTTATCATATAATATTGTTCTTCATATAATAAGCATGTTTTACGGACCAAATACGTTAATAATTCAACAAAAATTAAGAGTATTACCATATTTTTATTATATAAGTTGTTATAATTTTTTTTTATTATATGTATTTCAAAATAATATATAATGTAGTACGAATAATTAACATTTTAGTTTTGTTTTTTTTATAATAATTAATTATTTATTTATTTTTCACTTTCTGCATGTGATATATCAGACTGTGTTTGATTTAGCTGGTAATAACTATTATTGTTTACTATCGCTGCTTTTTTTATACAACTTAGAATGGCAAACAATGGGCCCACCTGATGGAAAGTGGTAACCGTCGCCTATAGACATGAGCAGTACCATGGACATAACAGAGTATACTGTTTCGCCCATGATACCCCCATGCGTTGCCATTCCTGAGGACTCAGGTGTGATTCCTCTGTACCCAGTAAATTCACGCCATATCCCACCCTTCAAACAGAAACACAGCCATGCAAACACAACTGCTTCACGGTAGAAACACGAATGGGACAGAGGTGGCCAAGCAATCGACTTTTGTACATAGTCCATTTCTCCCTCCATATTAAACTAATGGGAATTTTCTACGATTTTTTTTATGGAAAAATTCATAAGATATATAGACACGTATATATAGTATAATAATAATGATAAAAGAACTACAATTTATTCTACACGGTGGGTACAATCGATCAAACAGCTATACATCGGCCTGTATTAAGTAGATTGGTCAAATCTAAGAAGATCACAAGACGAGCGGGGGCGTGTCTATCGTAACTGTGCGTATTTATTTATCTGTCTGTCTTAAGTCGGATATAGACGAGTTTACTGGACTAGATTTTATTTTGCGGAGCTCCATGCCACTGGTTAGTTGATTAGTATTTTCCAACATTTATCAGAGGGAGACTTTGTACAAAAGTCGATTGCTTGGGTACCTCTGTCCCATTCGTGTTTCAACCGTGAAGCAGTTGTGTTTGCATGGCTGTGTTTCGGTTTGAAGGGTGGGATATGGCGTGTATTTACTGGGTACAGAGGAATAACACCTAAGTCCTCAGGAATGTCAACGCATTGGGTGTATCATGGGCGAAACAGTATACTCTGTTATGTCCATGGTACTGCTCATGTCTATAGGCGACGGTTACCACTTTACATCAGGTGGGCCGTCAGCTTGTGTGCCATTCTAAGTTGTATAAAAAAAAAACCTTGCTAAAACAGCAGAATATTAATGTAAATATTGACATTTGAGAACGAAATGTAAAGTATCACACACAAGCCCGAGAGGTTTAAGTGGTACTAAAAAACTCCCAATTTTTTTTAAATGTATTTGCATGCTAATTAAATTGAAAAAAATAATTACATACATACATATCTGTCACGCCCGTCTCCCATTAGGGCAGGCAGAAACAATGAAACGTCAAATACTTCGATTCAAACAGACCTCTTTCGCTTCTTCCACATTCATCAATCTTTTCATACACGCTCTCTCGTCTTTATCCTGTTTAGTTGATTAGAATTATCTTGTTTAATTTCACTACCATTAATATATTTGCTAACATTCGAAAAATGACTACTGTTATTATTAGAAGAAGTTCTACAACCTTCCATATAAGTCACCAATCTCCGACCGTTATTCAGTCCGCGCATGTGTTGCGTAGATGATGCAAAAGATGCCTCGTTTTGAGGTGAAACACGACAACACATGCGTGCACATATTAATGACAGCGGACGTCTACAAACAAAATAACTCTAAACTAAAAAGGATAAAAACGAGTGAGAATTAAGGATTTCTTGATCAGTATTATTCCCAAAAAACTAAGCTTGAGGTTTCGCTGCTTGCGTTCATAAAAAGAAGATATCCGAAAAAGAAATGATGTAGACCAAAGAATAAACAAGTTTAGCTGTGGATACTGACTCATCATCGTTGACTAGTCTCAACGTAAGAGAGAGGAGAGTTTTTTTTTTTTGATGGGTGAAAATGGTATGTTAACCCCGCCTGCGCTAACGGAATACGCTGGCGAAGCACCAGTGAAGGGTGATAGATGAGAATGAAAACAGACCAGTTAGCCCACATGATGTTCATCAAATTAACCATGATAGAGAGCGAGGAGGTCGAGTTTGGGTATATTGCTTTTCTCGGTCTCCATAATGAGAGAGGAGAGATTATAATGCCTTGTAATTTTCACCATCCTTCAATTCGAAACATGTATATGCAAGGACAGCTGCTTCATGGCAGAAGAACGAATGAAACAGAGGTACCCAAACAGATGACTTCGTAAAAAGTTTCCCTCTAGTATAGACGAATGTCATATTATTGATTTAATGAAAATAGATACCACGTCATCAGTCCTACAGCTTCTTTGACATGTCTAATTTTAAGAGACGACTTCGACCTACACACTGACTAGAGCCAGAATGTCTAAATCGTTTATTATTTTCTTTATACAACTTAGAATGGCAAATAAGCTGACGGCCCACATGGAAAATAGTAATATGGACATAACAGAGTATGCTGTGTCGCCCATGACACCCTTCGTGTGCTGCCATTTTTTAAGACTAAGATATTTTGCCTACATATCTATGCTATGTCCAAACACTGACCAAAACCAGAATGTCAAAATCGTTTACGCCTGACAATTCACATATTTATCACATAAAAATTGTTGCTTTTTAAGCGTAGCACGAGATATGGACATGAGTCCAGCAATGGGACGTTGTGTTGTTTAGATTAATCTCGTGTGCACATCACCTAATGCAGCGTGAAAAATAACAAATGAAAATGTAAGTGAGCCGGGCAACTTGTTGCTGGTGGGCGGGCCGGAACGCCCATAGGCGGCGAGCAGCGTGGCAGCACGGCGGCGGCGACAGTGGCTGCGGCGAGCTCGACCTACCACCACGTCATGACGCACATGCTCAGGTTCGACATGAGTTTCCTCTCGCCGGAACGCTGACGACTACTCAAACAGAAGGTGAGTTCAAAATACCCTTTTAACATATTTCTTTTTCTTTTTTTTTTTTGTAACTTTTTAAGGTTTATTGAAAGTGTTTGAAAAGTTTTTCTGTAACTTTTTTTTTGTTAATTGTCATCATTCAGAATTCAAATCATTTTTATTATAACTATGTGTGTAATCACCAACATCGTCTTATCAGCTGTTGTCTGTCCACTGTTGGATATATGTAGGCATACTATAGAATATTATGGGTAAAAAATTCTACACTTTTTTTTTTATTTTATTCTACTGTTATAAATTTTTCTTATGCTAGCTATATAATATTGTACACATTATTGGTCTTCCTAATAAATAAATTTTGGAATTTTTTTCTATTAATTTTCTTACATTACAGCTATTACATTACAGCTATATTTTTTTATATAATATTAGATACTTATATACAAGGTAAAATGGAATCAATAGCTTTTCTTCTATTAGTTAAATTAAAGAAACATCCGTATCTCAACCCACGTTTCTTTGGGGCAATGTTTAGTTTCACCGCTAGAACATTACTTTGGAAGGAAAAATTTCCATTTGTATACCTTGGTTTATTTGTTATAACACTTTTATGTCTTATTTTCGAATAATAAATAATATTATTATGGAATGCAATAAATAAATAAATAATTGTCTAGTTAGCTACCTATTAGTTTAGTATTTTAAAATACTGAATTCAGTAACTAACTGTGAACATACTAATTTGGGATAGATAGATTGAAACTTTAAAGATAAAAAGCAATTAAAAAAAAAACTCTCTTCCGTATAATTACTTACTTGTATCACAATTTTATAATCTCTCTTATTTACGTAAGATATCTTTGTACAAATGTAGATTACAGTGCGGTTTCATAGGAATTTGTTCTCGCAAACATTCAAGCCGTAGAACTTTCTCTGCCGAAGTTCTCTTTAGAGATAGCACTTATGGGGTTCTTCAAAAAGGGAACTTAAAGTTTTTCTTGTTCCTCGTCGCGTACTTGACACCCTTGGTGTTACAACTGTCCATATCTGATGATTGATGATTATTTACGATAAGACGAGCCGTAAGCTTGTTTGCCACTTTTGTGGTGAAAAGGAAAATTCTGTTCGCCTGTATATATAATAGCATTTTTTTTAATAATTTTAGATCATTATTTTGATAACTGTTACATTAACTAAATTAAATATATAATTGTACACAAATTATATATATAAAAATAAAGTTTGTAGTCTGCAGGATATAAAAATATGATATGGGAGTGCATTCTGTTTCGACTTCAAAAATAAGGTTTTAAACTGATTTGGGATTTTTTTTTTATCTGAAAGGACATCCTTACAGATGGGTCTCATAGAAATTCTATCAAAATCGATTCTTTGGTTTAAATTTTCAATAAAAATAACAAGTTTGGCCACTATATTTTTTTTTATGGGTGAAAATGGAATGGTAACCCGCCTGCGCTAACGGGATACACTGGCGGTGCACCAGTGAAGGGTGATAGATGAGAATGAAAATAGACCAGTTAGCCCATCGTTATGAATTCATCAGGAAATAGTCATGATAGTTTCCAGGGGGAACTGCGAGGAGATCGATCTGGTTAGGTATATTGCTAGCAACGGGATTCTTAACCCCCATTACTAACAATCCCTTTCCCCCCGTTTTTTTATACTTTTTTTTTTATACAACTCAAAATGCCAAACAAGCTGACGGCCCATCTACTGGGAAGCGGTAACCGTCGCCTATAGACATGAGCAGTACCATGGACATAACAGAGCATACTGTTTTGCCCATGATACCCCCCATGCGTTGCCATTCCTGAGGACTCAGGTGTTATTCCTCTGTACCCAGTAAATTCACGCCATATCCCACCCTTCAAACCGAAACAGCCATGCAAACACAGCTGCTTCACGGTTGAAACACGAATTGGACTGAGGTACCCAAGCAGTTGTTATTCCTCCGTACCCTTGGCCACTATTAAAGTAGGTTCTTTTAGAGGACACAATTTTAAATTATTTACAGTCTGTTCAAAAAGAGAGGAGCCGTTCAAGCATAAAATTTCTAACAATAAATTAGAATAATAGTAGCTACAGGTGTTTTACATTCAGTACTGTACCTGTTTATTATGGTTTCACTCGCGTAGAACAAGTTCCATGAGGAAAACAATAAAAACAGCCTATTTTTTTTACTCAAAGATTCAGTTCAAGTTCAGTAATTATAAAGATTTACCACATAAGAATATATCCCAAAAAAATGCTAAAACACATGTCTTTTAATTTTCTACCAAAAATTTAAATAAAAAAAGTAGGAATCTGCCATCGTACGGCTCGCCATCGACGGGGAGTTCACCCTCATACCCTATAGACTAGATGGTAGCGTACAACGCGGTTTCAGAGATGTTTTCTCCCACGAACACTCAGGTTATGGAATGATCTCCCTGCCGACATTTTCCCAAGAGACTACCTCATGGGGTTCTTCAAAAGGGGGCTAAAGAGGTTTCTTCAGAGTCGACAACGCGCGTAATACTCCTGATATTGCAGGTATTCATAGGCTACATTAACCGCTTAACATCAGGTGGGTCGTATACTTATTTGCAACCATAGTGGTATAAAAAAAGTCTACTAATTAAACTTGGCCCTTCAGAATCATTATCTTCCTATCCTTATCCCAATTTTTTGGGAACGGCGTCATGTTTTTATTACGAGACGATATTTCAAAAAATATTAAATCTTATCTCTTACTTATTTAATAATATGTATTTTATATTTACTTTATATGTACTTTATAACCGTATGGTCCCGGCATAGAATAGGCCACCCCTTCCTTTCCCGTGGATGTCGTAAGAAGAGACAGGGAGCTTATGCTGGAGGGATGGGCAGCAGCGTCTCTCTTAAAACATCGCCGGAAGCGAAACTGGCAACCCGACTGTCAAGCGTGGCAACTGGCAAAACCCGCCCTTATGAGGGAAGCTGTGTTCAGCATTGGTCAGTTGGCGGCTGATACAACATGTACTTTATTGCAACAATATAAAAAAGTTATATGAAGAATAATAATAAATAATAATGAAAATAAAGAAAAAAACCGGTCAAGTGCGAGTCGGACTCGCGCAACGAGGGTTCCGTACAAAATCATCAAGTGTATTTTTTTTTATTTATGAAATAACTACAAATTTACGATTTTGTGATATTCATCTTTATTTGTACTACACGACATTGCTTCTTGCCTAATTTCAGGTTACATTAATTACAGGTTTTGTTTCCCTTTACGGATACCAAAATATTCGATATAAATGGAACATAAACGGCCGTATCTTTTGATTGCTTCGATTTAGAAGCTCGATTTTTTCACTGCTTTGAGAAATTACAGACCTGAGTATACGATATTAATTTCAACTTGATACCTCCACGCGTTCCTAAGAAAAAGGGTCTTGACAGACGAACGGACGGATGGACGCACGGACTAACGGTCCTTATAGGATCACTTTATTGTCCAATCCGTTTTTTCCTTTGAAGTTACGAAACCCTAAAAAAGGCGTAAAAATAATAAAGTAAATTAAGAAAATAGAGTAATAAAGTTATCATTGACCTCTGCCAGACAACCTTTGGGGATAAAGAAGTGGGATGGGATGGGATGGGATAAACATTATTATTATTACTCTTATTTTACTGAAAGCTTTATTATGAATTGACAAGTGTCTTAAAGCTAACAGATTTCCATAATAAACTTTCAATCCCTTTTTTACCGTCGCGAAGTTGTGCGTCTTTTTGTATTCCATGGGATATATTTTAAGGAATGTGTTTAAGAACTCCATAAGCTATTGCCTATATCGTTCTTTCATGGACTACCGAGGGGGAAAGTGTCCAGTTTATGTCATAAAAATTTCATTTACCATACGCACTACTAATAGAGTATAATTTCCCCTCAACCTCTGTTTTTTATAAAGCTTTGCATGGGTGCAGTGCACGAGTAGTAACAATGTGGTGTCAGTGTGGAGTGATTACTATGGTATCCATTTCATCCTTCATAACTTCACATAATTCAAAACCAGCTCTGGTTACAAGTTACTAAATAATTATTATAGCTCGCTCTTTGTACAAAGTCTTATTGTGCAATAAAGAATAAATAGATAAATTTTTATTTTTATTTTAAATACTAGCGGCCCGTCCCATCTTCGCACGGGTGGACATTTTAAACAGTGGCCATTAAATCTGCACACGCGACGGAAGCTTAAAAATGCAGTAACTTCTCCCGTTTCCCCAACATTTCCCTTCACTGCTCTGCTCCTATTGGTCGTAGCGTGATGAAAAGTATACTATAACCTGCCCAGGAGTATAAAGAATAATTGTACCAAGTTTCGTTAAAATCCGTCGTGTAGTTTTTGTTTCTATAACGAACATACAGACAGACAGACAAAAATTTTACAGATTGCATTTCTGGCATCAGTATCGATCACTAATCACCCCCTGATAGTTATTTTGGAAATATATTTCATGTACAGAATTGACCAGAATACCAGAGGGAGACGTTGTACAAAAGTTTTTTATTTAATATATATTTAATTTGTATAACTTCAGTAGAAAAAAAATCAGGTCATATCTGTGTATAATATTAGTAAATGAGAAAATGTATAATTGAGGCGTAAAAATAATTTCGTAGCAAATTCTAAGGAAACGAAAACAAAGTGAGCGCGCCACGCCAAGTATTTAGAAAGCGCCAACTTTAGTGGTATTCCATGTTTTCTATTCATCCGCGAGAAACGACAAGTTCTTTTTTCTTAACCGCTTGTTTAAAATTTAATTTTTTAATACTTTAAACAAACATTCTACTACAGGATGATCAGCAGCTTACTTAGATTACTTAGCTTAGATACAGCTTTGTTTATCTGTTATTCTAAGTAGTATAAAAAAATCATTAACATGCTTTTAAATTATTCATATCAGTCGTTAACTATACACTGTAAGATTTTGCCAGTAGTTGCCACGCTTGGCAGACGGGTTAGCAACCG